TGCGCGCAAGCCATACGAGAGGCAGCGCGCACAGGAATGTAGAATGTACATTAATGTTGAGAATAAAGCGTTCTAGTTAATAATATCACGATCACGACGCTACGAGTAAATATGATTCCAGCCTCGCAGGAATATATGGTTGGATTGATTGCACATTTATTACATAGAAAGCACATTGGGATCGCCAATATTGCGAGAACCACTGCATATCATGCTACCGCTGTCCCGAGTCCAGAGCGACCAAAGCTCGAGGAAATCCATGAATCAAGTCAATGCTAGAGTCCACTTGACGAAGATGCCTCTAGAGTGGAGAGTGATACAGCCACGCCACTCAATGCCACCAGCGTATCCCAATATACGTCCGGAAGGATAGGTCGGTAATGGTTGACCCATGCTTGGCACGTGGCATGCCCTGCGTGTATATTCCATGCCCCACTGTGCGACACGCATAAGTTTGCACAAGCTTCAAGTTGGATATCAGATTCATGTGATTGAAAATATCGTAATTTGTGGGATGAGTAATTGATCCTCAGGAGTCCCATTCAATAGATCCATGTTCCAACGCTCCGCATTCTTATCGACGCTGCTCGCATATGTCATAACCTGTGGTGAAGGTGCTTCCGACCGCACACTGCTTAAGATATCTTATCGTGGAGCCCCACTCGACATTCGTCTCGTGCCAACTATGATATCACAGGCCGCTGCAGTCTCTGGTGAAGGAGCAAGCTTCCTCAGCCAAGACGACCGTGAGTGCGAAAGATGCTTTGCGCTGGATGGCATGATCTACGACTTGAAAGCTGTAGGTGTCCAAATTGTAGAGTCTACATGCTCCGTTGGTTACGAGCAAATTCTGAACTATTTGAGGAAGGCTCGAGCCATGCTAGGCATCCAATTTTACTGCGAGCCCGACTCTGTGGTCACCATTAACCCGATCAACGGGCCGATTGAGGCATCAGAAACTTGTACTGGCGGCAATCCCGTTCTTGGCACCAACGACCCCGGTTCTTCTTGCCAGCGTAACCTCGAGGTCATCAACATCGGACAAGCATGGCGTTATGCTCGCGAAGCTAAGCGCGAACTAAAGGATATCGTGCTGGCCATCAGCGACACTGGAGTTGATATGACCCACCCGGATCTGGTTGGTCAGTTCTGGAAGAACCCGAAAGATGGCTCCATCGGGTATAACTTCATCACGAACAGTATCGATGTTACTGATGACAATGGGCATGGTACTCACT